ACAATTTGGGGAATTGCACTGCAATACCTCTATACTAATCATTCTCAAAAACTTGATTGCCATAATAACTCTAAGAAAGATTTAACATTCGCAAATAAAAAAGCAATATTGTTCTTCCAGACCTTATCATTTGCCTATATAATCCGTTTTTACAATTTTTGCAATATTTGAAAAAAGAAAGTATCTACTACTCGTAATTTAAATATTTGTTGAACAATTTCACACAAACTAGTTGGGCTATGGAAATAAAATTAACTATTATTATATTATTATTATTATCTATATATACGTATTGTGAGAATCGTCATCCAGCACCACGCTTCGGTACAATCGATCAGAGATTGACTTAACAATAATCATAAATCAACCAATTAAAAAACGACAACCTTGGTACGGGTAAAGGAACAGGCACTGGAAGTTAAATGTGCACATGCTGGTTCTTTCGAGTTGTGCTACAATACCCATGCAATGACGGGAGTTCTCGCTTTGGCAATATTATAACTGGCGGATGCTTTTTTTGCTTTTAAACAAATAATGATACAAACTTACGCGCAGCTGGAAAAATTATTGATACGTTAACTTTATTTTTTATTCAATGCTTTAATGCAGTAATACCTATTGGCAGTTTCCCACCGGAATTGAATAGTTATTTATATATACAAAGAGCGCGAAGTTCAATTCGCGCATTGAGACTGAAGCTATTTTGACGAGGCGAAGCCGGAGTTTAAAAACATCAAATGCGCGAAATAACTTGCGCTTAGCGTTATTATACAAAATATTTTTTCTTACAACGAAACCATTGTTAATTAAATGATGTGTTAAGTTCAACTTTGTCCCGTGCGCTAAATTACTTTTTTCATTGTTGACGATTTCGCGGCACGTTGTCAAGAGCAACCTTACTTATAATTATAGCCGATTAAAAATCTAGTACTTTCGCACCGTTTCGAAATCCGTCAAAAATGACAGGTTTTTGACGTTGTAGTAAAAAATCATTTACCTTTCAAGTCACAATTCTGTACACATACATATTTTCCTATTAAAAAAAATACAATTTGAGTGTTTATTATTATATAATGGACTTCAAACAGTAGACCGAAAAACTCCCGGAACAATTAGTTATAAAAAAAAATCAGAAAAAATGGGGAAAATGTTTCGTTTTTCGCATTGGCCTCCAAATCTTGTCAAACTATTACTCTTGAGAGGAAAAATTATAATAGAAATCAATTTGTAGAATCATTTATTCTCTATAAGATAGATTTCGTCCGGGATGTTCATTTCCAACATATATTTATTTATCGAAAAATCTATGTAAAAATAAGACCTAATCCCCGACAAAAAACAATTGTTATTACTAAGTAAAATCAATCCATATTTTTTGAACAAAAACAATATGACAAACCGATCGGCCGTAGTATCATAGTTAATTGGGTCAATTAAATAACAAATTTAAAAAAACGATGCCTTGCTCATAACTGTGGTTTTCCAACAGATTATTGCCCCGATGATTCTGAAAATATCACGAGGTTGTAGAATTTTTTGTTCAAGAATCGGAAGAATTTTCTTAGTTAGCAAAAAGAATAATTTTCCGAAATATAACAAAAGCAATTGCAACTCTATAATAGGCGGAATAGTCCAGTCAAAGTAAGGAAAAAATAAAAACATTAATCGTAAATCTGAATTTTGAGTTACACATGTTCATTAGTTTCCCTATTGGACACTTAAAAGTCCCCGTCAAAATCTGTTGCGCTCGAGGCGGCCATCCTGGAAAAAAGGAGCACTTTTTCAGTTTCTTGCTTATATATCGGCAACAATTAGTCGATACGGAAAAATAGTTCAGATAAAAAATATAGTTTTATTAAATTGCACAAAAAGCATATTAAACATTTTTTGTATGTCAATACTTTAGCTAATAATCGACATCGATAGGGAACAAGTATCCTGAGCTCTCGAAACAGTCGCGCAGATATTTTACAGCTTTTACAAAATCATTAAAATTTCATTGAAAAATTCTACCAGTATTTCTTATATATGCAAGGTCGCACCAAGCTTGGTATGAGACACGTTTAAGGGTTTCTCATTAAAACTCTTTCTCAATAGAACTTTCTCGATCTCAATGGAGCACTAGTTGTGACTGGGAGCTCAAGTGCAGTCCGAACAGGGTCAAGGTAGATTCTGAAGGTCTTGATAACGATGTCGCGTTTTAATATCTTCGACTAAGGCAGGCACGTTATACTTATGCAGATAGGCTCGTTCTTCAGCTTCAGAAATCCATTTCGTTGCCTCCAACACATTTCGCTTTACCTTTTGAGAAAAACATATTATCGACAAAATTATGTCATTGCTAGAAGTTGCTTTATGAAGACGATTCTGTTCACATTTTTTGGTGCTGTTTTACAGCTATCGGGTTAGTCATAAAAAAGACGGCCTCCTCTCCATAACTACGATACGGGGCTTAAACGCGTTCTGACACGGTATTCAACGTGAGATTACAAGCTAAAGTATGGAGATACCAAAAAAATGTAAAATTACTCTTTTTTATAGAATTTAGTGTAAACTATATTTTCATGTCAAACTATTTCTTCGTAGTCGTAATAAATTTTCAGAGATATGGCAAAAAACTGGAAAGTTGTACGGTTTTTTCAAGATGCGTCTCGGAGCGCAACAGATTTTGACAGGGACTTTAGGTATGTTCAATAGGGAAAGTCCCAATAAAATGTGTATACCAAAATTCAGATGCTTTACCAATGTAATGTTTTATTTTGTTTCCAAATTGTGTAATTTACTGGCACTAGAATGGAAAGCTCTGGGAAAGACGTACATTAAAAAAACACGTCCAAAT